ACATGTCTCCTGTCCAACATGTCCCCTACATGTCTCCTGTCAAACATGTCTCCTGTTTAACATGTCCCCTACATGTCTCCTGTCCAACATGTCTCCTGTCCAACATGTCCCCTACATGTCTCCTGTCAAACATGTCTCCTGTTTAACATGTCCCCTACATGTCTCCTGTCCAACATGTCTCCTGTCCAACATGTCCCCTACATGTCTCCTGTCCAACATGTCCCCTGTCCAACATGTCTCCCGTTTAACATGTCTCCTGTCCAACATGTCCCCTGTCCAACATGTCTCCTGTTCAACATGTCTCCTGTCCAACATGTCCCCTGTCCAACCTGTCTCCTGTCCAACATGTCTCCTGTCCAACATGTCCCCTGTCCAACATGTCTCCTGTTTTTAACATGTCTCCTGTCCAACATGTCTCCTGTTTAACATGTCCCCTGTCCAACATGTCTCCTGTCCAACATGTCTCCTGTTTTTAACATGTTTCCTGTCCAACATGTCTCCTGTCCAACATGTCCCCTAAATGTCTCGTGTCCAACATGTCTCCTGTTTAACATGTCCCCTGTCCAACATGTCTCCTGTCCAACATGTCTCCTGTTTTTAACATGTTTCCTGTCCAACATGTCTCCTGTTTAACATGTCCCCTAAATGTCTCATGTCCAACATGTCTCCTGTCCAACATGTCCCCTGTCCAACATGTCTCCCGTTTAACATGTCTCCTGTCCAACATGTCTCCTGTCCAACATGTCCCCTGTCCAACATGTCTCCTGTCCAACATGTCTCCTGTTTTACATGTCCCCCATCTTTCACTCATGTCCAAACTGTCCTGTCCAACATGTCCTCCATCTGTCTCCTGTCCAAGCTGTTGGACAGTGTAAGTGATAAAACTGGTCAAACTGGGTTCTGTCTCTGGTCCTGTCTCTGGTCCTGTCTCTGGTCCTGTAGGGGGACTGTACAGCGGAGAGGTTCTGGTCTGGGACACCAGCCGGACTCAGGATCTGGTTCTGGGCCAGACTGGGATGTCTGCAGAGGGTCACAGAGAGCCGGTCTATCAGGTCTGGAGGGTTAAGGGTTCTGGTTTGGACCAGATGTGGTCTTGTATGTGGACCAGAGGTTCTGAGGTGGGTCTGCTCCTGTTCCAGGTCTCCTGGGTCCCCCTGCAGAGGAAGGGAGACTTTGGGGTTCTGAGTTCCAGTTCTGGAGGCAGAGTTCTGCTGTGGACCCTGGACCTGGACCAGACCAGGCTGGTTCTGGACTCTGCCTACGCCTTCGTACCACAGCAGGTTCCTCACAGCAGCAGAACCAGCACCAGGGTGAGTCTCAGAACCAGACCGCTTCTGAAGTGGTCTAAGTCAAGGCGGCTCCACCGGTTCTGATGGTTCTGTTGGGTCTGCAGGTCCGGGGCAGCAGCACTGTGGGGGTCACGGCCCTGGCTCTGTCTCCGTGGGACCCGGACACCTTCCTGGTGGGTTCTGAGGGGGGTCTGCTGCTCCGCTGCTCCTTCTCCTCCCAGACTCCGGCTGCGGTCCCACCTGAGGACCGGACCGTGGTTCTGAGAGCCCCCGCGGTCTTCTCCTTCAGACCCAGCAGCGGTCCGGTCCACTCCATCCACTGCTCACCTTTCCACAGGTCAGAACCGCACCCTCAGACCTGGGTCAGACTCAGACCTGTCCCAGACTCTGACCCACTCTGACCCGTTTCAGGAACCTGTTTGCGAGTGCTGGGACCGAGGGTCTGGTCCAGGTCCACTCTCTGCTGCAGACCGACCCGGTTCTGTCCATCAGGGCGTCGGACTCTTACCTGTTCCAGGTGCAGTGGTCCCCCAGCCGCCCGCTGGTGCTCGCTGCTGCCACCGGACACGGTAAGACCAGAACCGGTCCGGTTCAGGTAGACCTGATGCTGAAGGCTCACGGCAGGTCTTTTCAAAATAAAACAGGAAGTGATATTTTACTGATTAATGCTCTGAGGAAAACTAATAAAAGGTTTTATTTATTAGAAAACAACTTTTATACAGTTAGAAACAAACTTCTTTATTTTATCAATAATTAATACTTTTATATTTTGTTAAATAGTTATTTAATACTTTAATAGTGTTGTATAAAGTACCTCAAAGTGATACTTCAGTAAAAGTACAAGTATCTTATCATAAAAATACTT